TGTGGTCCCCGCATCTGCCCCTATATCATGCAAAAGACCGTTTTCAAAAAGCTTGTCACGCCCTGAAAGACCTTCCTGGTTATAATCCTGTTTCAAACTTGCTGAGCGCTCTTAAACCGCTTGCGTCACCCTAACTGAATAGACCCCCCCCCCACTGCGGTTGGGGCACGGCCGAGTTGATGTGCCGTGAACTGTGCTGATATAGAGTTTTCAAACCTACCCGTACAGTTCGCGAGCCCGACAAACTCGTCCGCGCTCGCCGCGGCCACGCCCCATATCGTGAAGAGTGAGGGAGCCGGAATAAACCCCAGATTTCCTTCGTGCCACATTTTGATACGAAGAAATTTGTTTTCTCTGCTTGTCTAGTTTCTTCTTCAAACCTCAAAACTATCTTTCACTTTGTCGAATTTTCTGTTTTTCTTGCAAAATTAGTTTCAGGTGGTATAACTTTAACCATAGCCCTATGAGTTCTGGGGTATCAGACCCGAACGCGCGTTTGGGGAAGAAAGAACTGCGGCATTACAGGGCCGGCACACCGCAACGCGAAATATTTTAATCAAATTCACTACGAGTATGGACCGAAGTGGTAAAGTGTACTGCTCTGAAGGGATTGAATCGACGGCCAGATGACTGACTTCATTATTTCTCGCCTATGATGGAGCATTGATATGACTGGCCGTGGAAAAATCCGCACCCCCAAATTTTGTATGAGATATTTAAGTAGATGAAGTAAGCTTCACCCCCCCCTCCTTCTTCCCTTCCTCTCCTTTCCAATCACCCCTTATTCTATTTCTGGGACGGTAGCAAACCTTCATTAATTCAGACTTAACGTGTCGAGATTAGCTCAGACCAAAGTCAGTTTAGATAACAGGTTCAGAGCGCTTCTCAACACATTAAGTCTTGTTTAACCTACAGTTAGATCATAACCAAAAAAACCATTTTAATTAGTAGTTAGAGAGTTAACTTGTAAACCTAATTCGTAATTAGGCAGAGAAAAGAAATAGTGTGAGGTCGAGGAGGCGCAGACGCCACGTTGACCCACGAGTAAAAAGTACTCCGAAGGACTTTTTACTGGAGGGTCATACGTGTCAGACGTGGTGACTGCGCCTCTTCAATCCCGTGCTCTTTTTTCTTCTCTGACCAGCTCAACCTGTTAGGAATCAAAGAATGCAGCTGCGATCCATAATCTTCAGGTACTTTTGCAACCTTTTTTTTCTTATTTATTCGTTTCCTGATATTTTGTCGTCTGAAATCTAAAGTAGGAAGCTCTTGCTTGATCTGGGCTGGATCGCACTCTCCATTCTTTATTCTTTGCTTAGAATCTCCGATCGTTACTTCTGATTGCGAGTTAAGGGTACTTTGCTACCGTCCCAGATCCCTAAGAAATTACTGGATTTTCATTAAGAACTATGGAACTGTTCATGAATGAACTAGATTCAATCCTTTCCGATAATTTGCTTCCTATAGTATCAAGCTGATTACAGCATTTAAGGCTTATGGTGCCGAGGGAAGCCGCGCGCGCGCAGATGACAAAGTCAGATGCGAGTCCAGCGCGTGTTGTCGATTTGACGTACAATGGCAATTCTATTTAATAACAGCCGTAAACCGCTGACTCGTCCGCTGACTCTTTCTTCTTGTCGCGCGACGGGCCTCCTGTCGAGTGCACGGGATCGCGCATCTTCCTCGTCCACCTTTCAAAGTCTTTGACGATTGGATCGATTTAACATAGCATTTTTTCATAGCAATTTTTTTTATTTTGAACTTTGAGCGTAGTTAACTTAGGCGCTGGGAAACAAAGCGACTCACGTTGTAAATTCGTGTGTTCCCACGCCCAGCGAACCACCCATCCATCCGAATCCATTCATCATCATGAAGTTTGTCCAGAAATGAAGGGACGAACTAATGATTCGACCATTGGTGAGTCCCCACAAACAGTGGTAATCATGTATGTAGGAACAAGCGTTCTTATGATTCCGAGTAGTGCAGAATACGTGGCGCATCCTAAAAGGGATTGTTCGTTATCGGTGACTTTCTTCCTCTAGATACTTGAAGAATCAAGCTGCAAATTCTGACCAAGACCGTCTACCATCGCCAAAAGGAGGACTTTAAACTATACTACGATGTTCACTGAAATATTGCGTTGATACTCTAAACGTTCCTATTGTTCGGGAAACAATTTTCACGCTGATACCCTACAATTTCCCGGGATGCTCGGTAATATCCGTGGTGAGCAAAGGAATGATCATCTCACCAGCTGGACTCATCTCTACCCTAGTCAGCCACTCTTTCAGCATTTTCTATACACTCCTCCATCGTAGTCAATTATGTTTCTCTTGAAGGAGTTCGCGCAATTTTAAGGACTACGCCCCTGAAGAAGGGCAGTGAAACATTGGGTAATGGAACTAGTTTTGGACGGTCAATAGTTTTTACCAGCGAAACGTGACCTTAAGATCAAAAACATCTCTGCAAACTCCACTGAAGCTATCAAGCTTCGCACTGCATTAAGGAATTCTCTCCTTAGTATGTTCCAAATCCGGTCTTCTCGAAACCTGGGCATTCCGATTATTTCTTGCTTCTGTTTAGCCTTCCAGGTTTGTTATGGTGGAACACTTTATTGGTCGACGTTTCGAACAAATCGTCGTTTTCAAGACCTAAAAATTGGTTCGAAGCTCTAGTTTGTAGCCTATCCGCTTACACCCCACGTAGTAACCAAATGTTACGCGACTAGTCCAGTTGCCACGTTTCTCAGTAATCTCAAACCAAGATAAGATTCAGCGCTGAACCAACCTCTTTCCACTCCACTAGTACTAGATCCCCGCTCGGCTTCATGAACAGCTGAGGAAAAATGGGACACCCTTACTCAAGCCACAGCTACGTGTATACGCTGTGATCTCAGTGCCGCGTATACCGGGGAATGAAAAACCGGAAACTACACTCGTTGGACGCTCATGCAATTCCTTTGGTTGTATCAGCTTTGAATTGCACACGGATTTCGCTAGGACACAATCTCCATGCTCTCTGGTGTAAAGATTTATAACATTCTATTTAAAGCAACAGTTCAGGGAGGGTCCGAAAATTTCAATGCCACTACTACTGAGGGATACACGAGCCCTAGTGAAGAACATATGCAGTGGAAATAATAAACGAACTTACCTCAGAAACTCAAAAACAGGGTGGAAAGTCCCTCAAACATGGGTGTTCTTGGGGATTTCCCCAATCCCGCCCCCTTGCCGGCCGTCATTGGACGCGTCGGCAATCGTGCTCGTTTTGGGACCACAGGGAAAATTGATTGAAAAATGGAGCGCGTTTACAGCGGGCACGTTCAGACAACTCGTCCAACGTGCGTCTTTATCCATTGCTGAGCGGCAGAGGGAGAGTACCTGTCTAAGACCCTCCCCGACGTTTTTTTCCAGTTTTTCATACATTAATCGTCTGGTTTTCATCTACAACTTCATTATTGGTGGTTTTTTCCCGCGAAACCGTTCCTGAACTGTTGCTTTAAAGACACATGCCCTGATGTTAACGAAACCAAATGCTGACCAAGGGAGTAGAAGGCTTACCCGTTTTGTCCCGAGCGCAGTGTTGTTTCCCCTTCGTTCACAGGTGAACATTGAAGTTTCTAATTATACAGTTCTTTCCTCATTGTTTCTACCTTTTCTTCCACGAAGCTTCACAGTTGGCAAACAGTGCAACAACCGATTCTTCAGGTGTTTTAGAAGTTTGATATGCATCTCAGTAGAGTGCCATGAATTGAATAAGTGAGAATGTGGTCTTAAGAAATGTACCGTGACTTACCCTACCGGTCGCTGGCTCTCCTTTTTCATAACCGTCTTGTTGTTTGAGTAACGCTCCATTTCCAATCTCCAATCATCAATTATGAATAATTCCTCAAAAGGTAGAATTCGAAAATGGTAAAATGTAAAAAATTTGGCAATCGTTGCCACTCTGGGAAGCGCCATGCATTCTACTTTCGGTATCGTGGTGCCAGGTGAGCATACAATCAACTACAGGGGCAAGCTGTTGACATGTCTATTTATCCTGCTGACGTACCCATTAACCGAGCCGGAGGTATGGCAACCGTTCATGGATCGACCAAGAGATTTATCGCGGATTTGGCTCTTGGCTAGTGGAAGTTAGCCACTCATCTACACTGGCAGTCAATCTTAGGCAAGCTTGGCGATCCGGCTTGAGCTCCTCTCCTTCGGCATGAGCAACACGACCTTTGCCAACTCTTGGGTCCGATGTTCAGTCAAAGAGCTGCACCTGGCACCTGCCTCTGGGACCAAGGTTGGGTTGGGGGACGAAAATCCCTTTAAATTTTCTCTGTCTTCCCAACTGGGATTGTCCTGATAAAGGGCCTACATTTAATGTATGTATGTAGGTCAAAGTAAACATGCACTGAAAATGAAGAAACTATATCGTTCAAAACAAATAAATTTAAAGGGATTTTCGTCCCCCAACCAGTTGGGGGAGGATTGAATCCGGCCCCTGTTGTGCTGTGGCCCAGTAGTCGGTTATTTTTAGGGCTGGTGGCTAGTAGTTCTTCAAACTAATGCCATTCGTCTACATGAATTATCGGCGCATAACAGGTTGTTCTCTCAAGTCTAATTGGCATCAATTGTTTGACGGTTCATAGAGTTCTTATGCAAAAGCTTCTCTTCTCAGATATGATTAAGCTAGTTCAGTCGGCTGTTAAATACCTGATAATCACTGTGTATTGCTCTTGGCTGTGATTGGCCAACAAATGAATAAATAGAATAAATAAATAAGCCTCATGGGCGGTGAAAATGCAATACATACTCTGCTCATCTTCTGAAAACTACAGAATTGTTCCATTAGAATTTTGTGTTGGCCGCAGAGCATGTACCTGTTAATTGCTATGTTTGGTTTTTGTGACGAGACGTACCTGTTTGTCACCCGTCATGTTCAATTAGCGGCGATTTCACACTTTCCAAATCGGCACTGCCCACTGTGTTCACTGAACAATTCACTGGTTTCAGATGATTTTGAGGTTCGCACTTCTTCTTTCTTCACTGCCTTTGTGCTACGGGTTGTCCTGCTATCACTGTGGAGTGTTTCTGAATGCTCCATCGCCACAATGCCGTGGTGCACCGAAGAATATCTCCTGTGATCCGGATCACTATGGATGCCTCAAGATCACTGCCGACCGAGACGTGAGTACCATATCACACCTATAAATGTTAAATTTATTGACACAGTGGTAAGAACATGTCATTTTACGAATGCTAGTCATAGTTTCACAAGAATGCTGGGTGTGAACAAATCACTCGCCATGTGTAGACCTGTGGTGAGTGATTAGATAGTCGGTGGGCGTACACTGACCAACCGCGCCAAGATTGAGCCTTAATAGGTCGCCGAGGTCAACTCCTTCGGTGCCAATTGCGCTTCAGTCCGCACCCTTGCAATAGGCAAAAAAATATATATATATTGAAATTACGACAATGAATTGATAAACCCTTTCCACACCTCGACCACCATCCCTCCGCTCTCTACCTATAAGTACAATATCTTATCTGAACCAGAAAAAAATATCGCCACTTCCTTCACCCAAAATATCGCGCGTCGAGGAGTAGTATACCTAACGCGCGCAACTGAACTCGGCCATTTTTTTTCGCATGCACCCTCAAATCAAAAATAAACCCATTAAACTTCACTTATCAACCATAACAACTGAAACGGTACGACCCGACTCCTACAAAATAACAAAGTACGACTCCCTTGTACTAGTAACAAACGTAGGGTTGACCCACCTTGATTGGGTCTCTTTAACTGAACTTATGATCAGATTACTCTCCTACACTTCTCATAGCTCATCAGGAACGTGTTCGGTCTTTAAAAATTTTATTGTAATATATACCAAAACTGAAAAAACGTGGTGCGGCAAGGATAATAGTAAAGAAGAAATCAAAAAAACAAATCGGCTGAAATCTTGCGACAATGGTGCCCAAAAAAATAAAAGTCTTTTTGAGCAATAAAGAGCTGGATCTGCACAAAATCAAGCGAACAATAATTGATATAAATAATCGAGCACGGCTTTAGATAGGATCTCTCATCATGGATCTGTAAATAATTTGTTGTAATATAAACCCTAACTACGTAAGCAAAGCGATGTTGCTTGAAAACGATGACCACCCTGCCTGGTATGCAAAGAAATTACCGTCAGGCCGGGTAATTTTCTATAATAACCCTATACGAGCCTTTTTCTTGACGAAATCCTATTGACACTGCAGCGACCATATGCCGAAAATTATAACAACAGCGGTATATAAACAGTAGAATCCAGCGCCATGCTCCGATTAAATAAAACAATATATAAGGTTAAACCATAAAAAAAACATTCAAAATTACATGACTTTTCGAACTGATACACCATTGGATTAACGGTAATAACCAAAACATAAAAATACACAGTTCAGAGTTACTGCTCTTACACACGTTCTTTCTGCAAATTTTTACGTCCTGTTTTTGCAGAGGAATCACTAGAAACCAACCAGATATAGCTCATTGGAAGTGTGGGCCAGAACATTAGGATTTGGCACCGAAAGTGGCACGAATCTATTGTGTACGGATTTCGGCGACCACGCGACCTCCATAGGGCACGGTCCACATCCGTTTAGTGGATTCAGCATTTTGTAGTGTTCTCTGGGCACTCTCGCATAGCACACTATTACAGCTCTCTGCTTTCCTTTCCTTCCCTTCAAAAGGCTTATAGTCAGTCATAGAAGAGAGAAAGTATGTGCTTTTCTGTCTGGACTCTCACGCGTTGGTTGACCACTGCTCCGGAACCGACAGCAAGCCTAATTCAGCGCGCCGTCTGAACGCGCGATGACTCGCTTGCGACTATGCGCCGGGATCCCAGTGTTTCCCCCCCCCCCACCCACATTCAAGCTTTGTCAGCTGACCTGTAACTTTGTAGAGTGATCAAAATTCCGTAAGATTGAGCTCTTCCTTCTGCGAAATTCGTACCATTTCAAATCAAGCTCAACAGTGCTTTTGTGAAGGAGATTCTATGCAATAGCTCACAACAGTCATACTCCTACACCCCAGTTTTGATTACCATCACTTCATTTTTGTTAATGTTGAGCACAGGCCAGCTGTTTCACGCCTAACATTCTGTAGGAGCTCATTTCGATCTCCACTGAGCTCGTTGCCGCGCTGGGAGTTATCACTACCTTTTTCGTCACTAAATCGCTAGTTAGCTATAACATTTCTATGTTCCTTCTATGCTGCCCATTTTTGTTTTATTCTTTGAAAACATTTTTTATTCATTTCTTGAAGTCAATGCTATTATTTTCAGAATAGATTTATGTAAATATTTCTTCATTGTTGTCATTGAAGTGAATAAAAATATACGATATCCTACTTACTACAAAGCACTTCGTCTGTCGTCTGCCGTTCTGTATGTCTGTCACGAAATTCCCTAGCTCCTCGGGATCCGCCTGGAGGGACCGGGAATGGGTGGGCAAGGTCTCACGAAGTACAAAACACACATCAGCTAAGCGGAGCCCCGCCCACAGTGGGCGTGGCGTGCATCGAAATGAACTGTACTGACGACCAAGATTTCAATTCAGTTACAAAACAGCCTCGAAACTGGGCCAAAAAGTGGGTAAAGGTGTGCATTGGTAAGTCAGATCGAATTAGGGAGACCCACCCCCGGTGGGCGGGGCGTTCTCCAAAAAGCAGTGCTTTATGAAAAAATTCATAACTCGGTTGGAGAAAGCCTACAGAGCAGAAAAAATTGGTGTAGGGGAGCAATGTCTAAGGTGTTCCCAGCATACATGACGTGAGCGGAGGCCCGCCCACAATGGGCGGAGCGTGTCCTGAAGTACACAGCGTTTTCTACAAGTCCTCATAATTCGTTCCGAGAAATGTTAGAGAGCGGGAAAAGGTGATTAGATGGTCAAAGAAGAAGGGGAGGTTGAATAATGGTGGGCGCGGCATGCACAAAAGTGGGCGGAGTTTGCTAACAAATTTATAACTCGGTTCCAAGAAGTCCAGGAGACTGGGAAAAAGTGGATAGAGGTCAGCGAAGGAAAGGAAGCTAACTGCTATTGGTGGGCGGGGCATGCACCAAAGGGCGGAGTTATCCACGAAACATTATAACTCGGTCCCAAGAGTCCTGGAGACCGGGAAAAAAGTGGATCGAGTCTGACAACGGAAAGGGTGTCAGCTGCCATTGGTGGGTGGGGCGCCGAAGTTATAATTCGGTCCTAAGAGGTACTGGAGACTGGGAAAAAAGTTGGACAGAGATCAGCAAAGGATATGATAATGCTACTGGTGGGCGGGGTGTGCACCAAAGTGGGCGGAGTTTGTTGGCAGAATTCTATCTCGGTTCCAAGGAGTTTCAGAGGTCGGGAAAAAGTAGATAGAAATGGACGGCGAAGGGAAGAAAGTGAACTCACAATTGTGGGCGGAGCATAGGTTAAAGTGGGCGTGGTTCGCCGCCAAGCATATAAATGGCTCAGAGATAGTTCAAAGACCGGGAAAAACGTGGAAGAGATTGGCGAGGAAGAAAAAGGTGGGTGGGACATGCACCGAAATAGGCGGAGTTTACCACGAGATTTATAAATCGGAGAGGCAGTCCGGAGACCGGGAAAAAGCGACAATGGTTGACGAAGAAAAAGAGGTTGAAAGCCGTCGATGATGGAGCGGATAGAATTTAGCTGAGAATTCAGATATTCGTAGTGGCCAAATTTGAAAATTTACGCCGCACCATCCCATATTCGCCGCAGATCTGTGTTGTGCGCGCAATGCGTGCGGCGCCAACTGGTTGGTATAATATCAGAAGTGATTACATCCCTTGTAAAAAAATTTAGGTAGGTAAGGTTGCAAACTTCGACGTGGGCTACTGTATAGTACACGCAGAATAGATTCCTCAACACGACCTCATCTAAGGTTGCTCAAAACAGCAACCCTCGATGAGGTCGCAGTTGTGCCGCTGTCGCGGCTCGTAAATGCGGGACAATCGCTAGGGCCTTACAAAATCACCCCCAAAAGATCTAGGACGCTAATCGGTCTATGACCTGATGTCGAGTCTCGGTAAACTCTCCTCCCCCCCCAGAACCCGTCGCGCGCAACAAGCCAGATTCGTCGACGACAGTTCACCGCTGATGTGCATGTACAATAGGACGTCAAATGGGACACTCTCTAATCATAACGCGAAATCTCCTATAGGTCCGCTCTGTTACCATTTGCCTTGCCCGCGCCGGAACCTCCTAGGGTACCGCGTCTAGCTCACATCTCAAAACCACGCAGCTGTTCGCCGGTGCGCTTTTAAGATACGTACGACGCGTTCCTGTAGCAAACAGCCAAAGTTCCCAACACGGGTAAAAGCAGTAGAAAAGCCATGAACGAATAACAGAGTCATTGGGCTTACCATCTTGCACCTAAATAACCGACCACGAAATATTGAATATATACAACGAATCTCACAAGGGAAGGATACCAGGTCGAAGTGGCCATTTGTAACGAGACATACACCACTAGATGTGTTTTTGGACGCTGATCTCGAATCTGCTCTCCAAATCTGCGGAACGATTCTCCTGAACGTAGTTATGAAGCGAGATAGTGCAGTGGCAGCGGCCCGGGCCAACGGGAAAGACGTCGTGGGATCGAATTTTCGGCGAGTTTTGACTTTTGCTTTTCCTGAGGACATTGTTAAGGAAATCCTCATCTATGCTAAGTCATCAGCACTCGCCTTTATTACTAGTGCGAGGAGATAGCGAGGAGTTTCGATCAAGTGTGCGTGCCATGTGCAAATGACCAACGGTGACTGCCCACATTTGCAAAGTTAGGTACAAATTTCATTGGATCGCAAAATGTGAAAGGGCATTGACGCGCCTGACTAGAATATCTACCTCGTGCACGAATGCGCCTGACGCGTGCGCTACGAGTACAAGGTGCGGCAATCTTTTGCGAATGGCGCGCGTAGAGTGTTAGATACTCCTTCGCTAGCTATTCCCACTTGTAATATAGGCAATCGCTAATAATTTATATGGATAAAAGCATCTTTAGCAATGGCCAAGGCCAATCAACATGTAAGATCTTGCCAAACCTCTTTCCGTCGCCTGGCCGCATGCCACTTGCACTATCTCGCTTAAAACTACTCCATGAAACGTTCCGCAGATTTGAAGCAATCAGATCCGGCCTCGCAAAACACATCTAGTGTCTCCGTCTCGTTGTTCGCAGAGCGATGTGGGTCACCTTCCTGCGTGTAGTGCCAGGAGCGAATCGAGACCTCTTAGGAGGGAGGGGAAGAGTAAAACTTTTGAATTTTTCCCAGCGTCGCGGTTCACCCTGGTCGGGACCAATTTTGGCACAACGTCGCCGCGTTTTCGCGGATTAGGATGATTGTCCAAGAACTAGCAATCGAAATGTAAGAGTAAGGCTAGAACTTATGGTCTTCACAAAGGAAGTACAGCTATTTGACCTGCATCTTAGGGGAGGCAAAATAAGCACAAGTGCATTACGTAGTCGTCCTGACAGAAAATTCTTGTCAGTGAAGTTCCTTTATTAAACTGGTGAGCACCCCATCGTGGCGCCACTAGGTGTACAATCATAGGTTTTAGTTTGTAATCTTCGCTATATTTTTTATTTCAACGACTGAATTCCAAATCCGATTTTCATCAAAATGAATAGAATAAATAAATAGGACTGGGCTGATTTATTGATAACCAATAAACCACTCGGGAAATATTGCGAATAGCTGGAGATTATCATCCTTGTAGTGAGAGTCGTCCATCTTATTATTGTGAAGTATAGGTGGCCTTATGGGTCACTTTTATGGCAACAGTAGATGCTTGACTTTTGCCGATGTGTAATGTAGTGAGAAGAACGTTTCGATAGTCTTTGACGAATACTACAGTGATAATCGGTCCCATTAGCGGATAGAGTGCCATAGCAATACCAACAAAATTGTCTACAAAAGGTGGGCTAGCGATTCCAGTGAAAAGCATGAAAAACATAGTGCTCAACGGCAGATGCATTAATAATGCTGGGCAAATAATCTGAAAAAGAATGGTATATTTTGCCTGGTTTTGAAGCCATTAAAAAATTAAATAAAAAAAATTAAAGAAAGAAAATTTGCAAAGACGCACGCCTATATTACGGTATGTCACACAAACACTGCCGATGTCAGACTTTGAAAGTGCGGCAAATTGCTAGCGAAGCACGGGGTACGAGCGACGCTCCAGCGCTTCAAACGTTGTGCTAACGGTTCGGATTCTTTCCCAACACCGACTCGACTGAGTGGGAAAGTGTTTAGTCTGTCGTGCCCTCTCGCTCTGTCCTGCTCTCGTGAGCCCGAGAAAGAGGCGAGAGTCAATATGCACAAGAGAACTGAGAAAGATGCACTTACGACAGACTGAGAAAAATCCTAACAGATCAATGAGGCCGGCTTCCGCCTCAAAAGAGAGAACTGCGAGTTTTGCAAAGAGGAGGTGGAGTTTTGAGCGATGTAGTCGATGAGAGGGGCATGAAGCCATCTTCGAACAAGCTGAAGGGCGATTTGGGGCGGAATGCCCAGAAGCCCGAGCCCAGGAATTTGAATGAATTGGAGTCTTGTTTAGACAGTCTTATGAGAAATTTATCCACAGATTAGCAACGTTGGCGGCACCGTTGAATAGCAGACGTGGAAAGGTGCACCATGGAAGTGGGGTGATAAAGAGAAAGCAGCCTCAGTCGAATCCGTGGCTTGCAGCCGCCGATATATTGGCGCATTATAATCCAGATGTTGCGGAGTGTTGGCTACCGATGCTCCAGAATATGGTAATATTGGAGCCGTATTGTACCATAGATATA